CAAAAACGCATGAAATCCAGTAATTTGTTATTTCATGTTAATTACAGATTCACTCATAAATCGCATCCCATATTCACTACATATTATTTAATGAAATTTGTTGTCAATTGTTAGTCAGTGAACACAGACTCAAATCATTTCCCATGTTTTGCTGTTTCACACCTGGGTTTCGATGCAACACAAAGCCTATGCCCTACGCCTGAGCCCTCACATACATTAACAGCAGTTTAAATTGTTGTAACACTAATGCCTAATAACTGGAGTCCCTATTATAGCGATCGCTAATTTTCACTGAATTTGTGAAACTTAAGCTTTACTGTAGTTTTTGTTGCATACAATGAGAGCGCAAGAGATTTGTTTTGCTATTTTGGCTGTCCATTCAATCTCCAGTCCCGGATCAGTGAAGCGATACTTTCATTTACCTCTCCATATAGTGAAGTATAGCCCCTATAGTGTAGTACTCATGCATTATACGAGACCTCACCTAATGGTAAAGGGCTTGTGTTCCGGTCATATTTGAATGACATCTCTCCTCAAAGTTGGCACTGATTTTCACAACTTTTGTGCCATATATTCATGTATTTGAATTGTATTAAGCTTTAATTGCAAATTACATGATTTTGTTTTAATATGCCCTTAATCCTTAATAATGTCCTTTATAGCATTATAAAACTATAAAATACTTTGATGATTTCAAAAATACTTTTACTGTTATAGGAATGTCTATAACAAATAATGAGTAAATTTGTTATGCAAATCACTTTCCGATTATATAATAGCATTTCACTCAACAGCGGATGAAATGTTAATGTTTTTTATGTAACCGGAAATTCATTAGTCAATCAAATGTCAGACCAAATAAATTGAAGATTTTTTNAACAAATGATGAGTAAATTTGTTATGCAAATCACTTTCCGATTATATAATAGCATTTCACTCAACAGCGGATGAAATGTTAATGTTTTTTATGTAACCGGAAATTCATTAGTCAATCAAATGTCAGACCAAATAAATTGAAGATTTTTTGGTAATCGTTTTTCAAATGCTTTTTGATTAGAGCTTTGTTTTTAAACAAACTTTTGTTTAATGTTCAAAACATTTTATCATATTTTTAAAGTCAATAGATATTTGTTTTGTTAAAAGTATGAGTTTTTTAAATTTTTTATTGTAAAAACAAGTTTAGGTTTTTATATGGAAACTTTTGAGGAAAGTTTTGGTTAAAAACTATCTCTTTTTTCAGGTCTCTCGCAGTGAAAGCTAATGAGTTGTAATTTCCCGTCTGATAGCCACGGCTGAGACCACACTTCTGCTGAACATATTTCGGTTTTCTGTTAATTGAGTACAAAATATGTTATTTTTAGATACATTTAACTACTATTTTATACGTTTACTAATGACAACATGTAAAATTATAAATATTATGACTTATTAATTTACGATTACCGTAAATATGACATAAAATAATAAAACATACCGTGAAAACACAGTTTTCAGGGATGGGCTGACCCTTTAGACAATTAGTTCGCTTAAATTCAAAGGTGAGATAATACTTGTCTCCGGACACCACTTGTCTCTCGGCTTTCAATATGTTAGCGATTTTGTGGGTATATATGGAGTTCACGCCGTTATTAAGCATCGATTCCGTGAAATCAATAATGGGCTGTAAATCGGGATCATTACTTCGGACCACTTGTTTGCCGCCGAGTATTACTGCCATTGTTTTATACGTCAATACAAACACAATCACTGAACAAATAATTAAAAATTTCATATTTTTATGTAAAAATGAGCTCAAAATGAGACACAAGTGTTTCCAAACAATATTGCAATAATAATTATGATTATTAATATATTAATATGTATGTTAGCTATTTTATACTCTTTTATAATGTAAACAATTCTTTAACTGCTTTATATCGGTTGGATTTACATTTATATTTGATAACAAAAATTATTCACTGATTAACAGTAATAAAGAATCGGCTGATACTTGTGTCTGAATGTAAATGAATTTTTAGTCTAACTTTTTTGTTATCACTATTTTTTATTTTTCATGACTTTGAAATATGTTTTCCAAATTAATATCATATATTTCTTATGATTGTTTATAAGTTATAACTTAATAGTAATTATTTATAAATACTCGAAACATATGAGCCGTTATAAATAAACATTTACAACAAAATATTTAGTTTTTAGTTCAAATAGTATTAAATGTAATTTACAAATTAAGTATCATGTATTAAATCAATTCTACTAATTAGTCAACCTTGTATTATATTTGTTGTTAATCTCTGTTTTTAATAATGTATTATTTAATGATTAGTTTTGTTTGTTTTATTATTTGTTATAAATACCAAAAAGGTATACATCCATAACCCTTAGAGATATGGTATAGCCAATGAATCTAGTTTATATGATACTGTAGTTATATCATACGAGCTAACTAATTAGCTAATTAATACAATATAACTATTGTTTACTGTAAACAATTAACTTATATATTTATCATTTTTCAAATAATACCATAAATGATAGCAAAACTTTAAACACTTTATAAATGGATAGCAATATGGTTTAAAAACAAAATCTCAATGTTTATTATTACCTAGGTTTATTATGGGTAGTGAACACTGTAGCCCAAACTCAAAATAAATCAAGAACAAGAATATTTTTATTTGAATTTACAAATAATAAATTGTAATATACTGTTATAACTTATAAGGCTACTATGGGCCAATTTTCTAGATAACCATTTAAATTAAACTTTAAATAAACAAAAAAAATTTATTTAAAAAATATATACATCACTCCGCATGTAATAAAAATTAAATGATTACAATTAAAATAGTCTATAATTTGAATGATAAGGACTACAATCCGCTGCAATTGAGAGACAACACTTGATTCTTAAGGTTTTGATCCCAGAGTCGGCTCAATATAATTGAATTGCAGACTTCGGTCTTCTGTATCCATCATATAAGACAAAGAAATAATAATTTGATTATAAATTATATTATTTTAAACACATAATATGTTACACATATACTTACAATAACTTTGCAATTAGTTAAATCGGTGATATTTTGGGCGCAATTGGTTTCATTGATTTCAAGAGTTATGTAATATTTAAGACCGGAAACCACTTGGGACTGAGTTTTTAACACTTTTCCCATTCCTATGGCTTGTGTGGTGTCTATTGAGCCGTGAATTGCGTTAAACAAAAATCCGATGGCATTCTTAACGGCCAGATTGTTTGGATCCACATCTTTAACATCACCGGGCAATGGATCCGGTGCTGTCCTCACCATCACAACCATTAGCAATACACTTAATACGGTTAAAGAGTTCATTTCGTTACCTATTGCTAAGGGTTTCCAATACTTTTGTTGACTATCTCTTAATTAATTCAATTATTTCTCTTATTTATACTAAACGCGAGTTTAATGGTATTGATTCCTGTATTCATTGGTTTAGTTTCAAATCAAACCCTATTTTCATGGATTCTTGAAGTTGTTTACATAAACACCTGTAATATACCAATCAATCAATAATACATATAATATTCTAGTGTTGTTTTTGTCAATAATTTATTGAGAAATCATAAATTGCGATAAATATTAATTAATAAAACAATACTTCAATTGCAGTGCACTTTTTAGCCAATCCTAGAATAGCATTAAATAAAAACTTTTACTTATAAAATATGATCTTTGATTTGTGATTAAAAGTAGTTATTTATACCACATTTATAAACATAAAACCTATACTCAAATGCAATATTTAATTCAATTAATTTAGCAACTTATATTTGGCCAGGGTTACTTATTTAACATTGGTTAGTTTGTAGAAAGTTAGCTAAAATAAGTGACTACTTTGATAGACTCAATGTTGTGCAATGCAATGACACTACTGTTGTCTAACACGTAAACTAAACCCAATAATAATGACATTAATTAAAGGCAATCAATACTCGTATCGAAGAATTGCCACAAAACTAATTGCAATCCAAATATCAATTGCTATTCAATTCATTTCTAACGCATTGAGAATCGCATGTATTTTAACACAAATATTGTCCATAATATACGACAATATAATAGACAGTGAATACCACTCCAACACATGCACTGCAATGCCATACAAACTAAGCCCACGTTTACGTCATTTATGGCGATATTTATTATTTTCACCCAAAATAACAACAATTAGTAAATAAATAGCAATTGAATTGCAATGAGTTTTATATCATTATTTCGTTACCAAAAGCGGTTCCTTAACTACAAAGTGGTATATAAGGGACCCTTTGATTACAAGAGAGACCACACGAAGGCATACAAATACCCCTTCGGTATCAACAAGTCTGCCATCGAGGAAGAGATGAACCAAATCAACGAATTGAGACAACACGAGCTCAAACAGGTGTCGCCTTTCCATCTGGTCTGGAGGCACAAAGACA